CTGTCATGGCTAAAATGATTCCTATCTGCTTTAGCTGAGAATCGGGATCAAACAGATGTTACAGTACAGAAACACTTCCAGGTGTTGGCCATTTGGATCGATTTATTTGTAAGACGTGCAAATGTGTAAATTGAATTCTTGTGTCATTTTTTTTTATTAACAATGAAACAAGTATAATTAAAAAGTAATATTGTCATTCTTGATTTTTTGCATTTGAGTTATTTTTGCAAAGTGGTATATTTTGCTAGGACAAAATGCGATTTTGAATCGAAATATAAAGGAAGAAATAAGTCATTGTTTTTGTAAAGTTTCCAGGTGTGAATCAAAGCAATCACACACTTGAGTACGCAGATATTGTTTTTTCAATGTCTATGTAGTGGTTTCTTTTGCCACAAGACGCACTGAAGAAGAAGGGGGAAAAATTCAGGTTCCACCGAGATTTGAACTCGGATCGCTGGATTCAGAGTCCAGAGTGCTAACCATTACACCATGGAACCGTTCCTGACTCCGCGACAGACTATTCAGTTCATGTAACTGCACAGTTCAAACTGTGACATGCGGTAATAGGTTTGGTTGTTTTTATAGTGATGCACGTGTAACTTCTGAAAAGACTCAAAGAATGGTGTGTTAACAGTACAGGTTTGTGTGATATCAATAGTTAACCGCGTCAGATAGCATATCGGTTATGAGAAAAAGAGGAAATAAAACGAAAATGCAGGAAATTAGTTTCTAAGGGCGTAAGTAAACCAAGTGGGGGAAAAAAGGGAACAGTGGCCCGTACGGGGATCGAACCCGCGACCTTGGCGTTATTAGCACCACGCTCTAACCAACTGAGCTAACCGGCCACAATTTGTTGCGTTGCCCAAACCCTTCAGATAGTGCGTCTGTTAAAGTTTCTGAGTGAGTGCAATCGCATATACGTTTTATTAACTGTAAAACCACTTTATTTTTTAATATTATTCATTTGTTAAATTATATTCAGATTGATGACTCTATATTCGTTACCAGAAGCTGATAGTGACTGTATGAAAGCCTATCATCTACGTTTGATTATATTCTTTTGTCTATGAAGATTATCAGTCATCCAGGTCACTGAAGAAGTCCTTTGGATAAGGGACGAAACGTCTTCCAGTAGCTTCAACCAAGTCCAGTTGCCCTTCATTTTAACCTTCGTTGGATTATATTCTTTTGTGATTTATTGCTCTCTGTGGGTTTGATGTATTAAATAACCATAGCACCACAAAACTAGATAACGGTGTGCATCTTGCATTCAGGCAGTACTGAGTGTTACATTCTTGTTTGTTCACCTGTACCTGGGATGATAACGAAAGTTCAGAGTTTTGTGACATCCTAAATATATTAGATTAGAAACACACCCCATACAGGAAGAGAGCCTGTGTGGTTTTCTTGTCCTGGCTAGACTCTTATCAGACCTGTCTATCGTCAACAATCATCTCAGCTCTACCAAGGCACGTCTTAGTGTGCGTCAATACATACATACGTGTGTGTATGTGTGTGTGTGTGTGTGTGTGTGTGTGGTTTTTCTATGGTGTGGAATATTCCACTGTCTTAAAAAATGCAGGGCTCCTGTTTGCTTACGAATCTAGCAATACACAATAACAGCAATACAAACAGTAACACCTACTGAGCAAATGGTATCTACATCTCACCTGTAAACCAGGTGAACAAACTGTGGCTAACACACAGAAGTGAAGTTCTTGGAAATCTGATACTAAACCTCAGCATGGTCACTATATCCGTACATAGTGCCCATGCTGAGGTTTAGTACATGAGCATGTATGTGCATACGTCGATTTAAACAAGAGTAGGGAAGCGGCTACTGTGTGACTCCTACTAGGCTGGTGTAACGTCCATGTGTCATCATTTGTGCATGTATTCATTTGTGCATATGTTCAGAGTTGCACTCAGCTCAGACCTTGTTAAGATGCCTCAATATGTGGCACGGGGGGAGTCACAAAACCTCGCTCAGCCATATCTCTGCCTTTGCTTCAGATTTTGTGTGAGCCATATCAAGTACACTCTGAGGTGCCAGTGTTGGCAAGGCTGTCCCCTCTTAACAGATACACATGACTAACCGCTATGTAATACCGCCTAATCCGTGCTCATAAATTGCTGTGTAAATGTGTAATCCTCCTTCTGAATCCCTTCCCCAAGAGTTCAGGACTTCACCAAGTGATTACAGTTTTCATTTTTCCTTTTCTTTGGGGTTGATGGATAAGGCACAGAAAATGCAGCTGTAGTTTCTTCACACTCACACACACACACACACACACACTCACACACATACATACATACACACAAAAGCCCTGTAGGCAGTGGAAAAGTACTGGACAAAGCAGAGACTGTGACTGCACTCCAACCCTCATCACTGCCATCAACAGACAAACACGCAAGGCCAGGCTTGCCTCCCCTGGGTATTAAATGACACACAGGGATACTGTGAGAGATCACACTCATTATTTGACCACTCAGTGCATAATCGGTGTCGATATTACAGCCATAACAGCCACTACATTGTATAATTTGAGAGTCACTAGAGTCCGTTATACTGGGAAGACCTGATCACTGCGCCATGTATGTCTTCAGCTAAATTTACCAAGTGCATATAAAAAACATCTACAACAACAAACTAGGTAATTTGAGTAGACTGAGCCAGCACATACTATTTCTTTTAAAGGTAAGCACAATTAACTAAGTCACATCTTTTTTTAAATCTGATTCTGACTTAACCTGTGGCTTAAGAGCAGTCAGGCCAATGCAGCACATTAACAGTAAATGCCTGACTTCCTGCCTTAACCTGTTTACATACTGACATTTGTGTCCTGTCGCACACCTGTAATCATCATTGGCCCTTTCAGTCAATATTATATAGCTGCAGTACTGGAGGCTGCAGTTTCAGGAACCCCTTAGTCCTGGGACCGCAGTTCTAGGACTGTATTTCTTTTGCAACAGCGTGATCTAGTGGATTGGTGGTGTTAATGCACAGCAATATGAAGGAGGTTAACCCTGTCTGCTGCCCTCCCAGCAGACATGCGCAGCTGTAGAGTTAACTGGTCGACATGCATACAATCAATAACTCAGGTTTAGGCACACACCCTGTGATGGTTAGGGTAATTGGCTGGGGGGCTGTCAAGAGTAACATAGCCAGCTAGCTAGCTGGCAGTATCAAAGAAAACAAGGGTCCTACAAATGTTGTTCCGGTCCTAGGATTGCGGTCCTGAAACTCTAGCCTCCTGTACTGCAGCTACATACTACTCCTTTCAGTATCTCCGCCAGCTTTCCCTAACCATAACCATATCATAGTTGGAAAGTTAGCAAAGACTGAAAAATGTAATCCAGCCTTTTCACCCAGCGGTTGTGTTTTGTACTCTAAAGTTGTGTTTTTCCTTTCTTTGAAAACAGTCTGCAGTAATGTAGAGAATACATGAACTTATGTAAATCAACAAAAACTTGCACCAAACACAGGGCAGTGATGCAACTCGTCAAGTGAATACATAAACTGTATGAGTGAATACCGCAACATTTCAAGAGAGAAGCTATCCAAGCGGTCTGCTAGGAAGGGCTGGTTTGGGACGATTTCCAAAAGGATATTTTTCCCTAAAGGGGAGATAGCACTGATGTGTTTCTCTTCCCTCTAGGAAGACGTTCTGACTCTGGCTTGAAGACTTGGATGCCAGGTCTCAAATGACCAGGGTGGGTGACATTTCAGACAAGCTGCTGAAGACTAGTTAGCAGGGATACAGGGTCATCTCTGGGACAGGACAGCAAATAAATGTTTTTCAGATAAGAGAACTTGAGAGGAGAATGGAGTAAAACCGAAAACCTAGAGGAGAGAAGAGTAGACCGGTCGTTACATTTTCCCATAGCAGTGTGATCCATAAAGAGGATGTTGTCTGACCTTTGCTAAGGGAGAAATAAAAATAGCCAAGTAATAAAGTGGCCTTGACTGCAGGGACACAAGCTACATGATGCTGATTTAATACAGTACAGTGCCCATGCTGAAGGATGTTTTTCATGCTAATGTAATATTTTGCTTTATGCCTATCAGATTAATAACAACATTAATAACTTCCAGCATTAGGGATAATTTAGCTAACATTATACCTTTTCAAAAAACTAAACCAGAAATTATTCTCAATTCCAGTCCACCTTTTTAATTTCTTTTATTATTTAGATTCTGATTTAAAGTTCTATTCAAGTCCTAATGTGACTTATACCTGGAAAGAATATTTGAACATTTGTTTTTCCAGGAAAGTTAATATCTGCAATGATACACCAATTAGCTAGGGAGCTGCTATAATTAAGAGCAACAGTATCCTTTGCTTTGAAACATAAGAATCTTCTTTCTAATTACAGGAGTTTATTAATTGCATCTGTTATAGAGTGACAAGGAAGTAAGAGCATGTTTTCCATTTCCATTGCAGCTTCAGGTGTTTTTGTTTTAACAATAGATGCAGTTTTTATATATTTTATTTAACAAGAAAATGTTTTCATTAAGATTAAGTCAGAGTCACCTTTTAAAATAAAGGTTTATCTTTTGCACCAAAACATCACACCAATCAATCAAAGGTACCCACTCCAGCACTTTATTCTTTGCTGAAGAAAGCAGCAACAATATTGGCCAAGCTGAATAAGACTGACACACAAGGGAAGAACAACATATCCACCCAACAGAGTACCAAGCTCAGCCTATCAGACAGTTTCATTAAACTTTCCAGTCCTCCACAAAGTCAAGTAGGCGATGCATGTTGAAACCACTCAACATAGTGGGTTGTTTGTTCCCAAGCTCAAATGTCATCTGAGTGGGAAACTGTTGGACCAGAAGTGATAAAACGAAACTTGGTCATATGAGAGCATTTGCACTGAAGCAGTCTGTATTAATAGTTCTGTTTGGGGTGTTGATGGCCACTGCCACTAGTTAAAGTGTTGGTCTTTACATGAGGTTCCCAGTGATTCGAACATGATGCAACTGTTGCTGTTCAACACCCTAGCACATATCGTCTATCTCTTAATCCAAACAGCTCCTTTCTCAGTACTGCTGTTGTTTATTCTTACTGGATGTACTGGTTTGCATACAAATGTCTTAACTACCACTAGAGAGCACTACATCTGAATGGACCAACCTGTCTGGTTTGGGAACTGGTCTTCACTGGAACCATATATTAGCCAGTACACCAAAGACACAAGAAACTGCTATATGATTATATCATCAGTTTCTGAACATGTCAGTAATTAAGTTAGCTGAAGCTGGACACGATGAAGTGAAGGTAACTCTAAGCTACTGCCGTATGTGCAACAAAACCTAAAGAGTAAAAGACAACTTTGATACATCCATTAACGAGCATAACATGTAGACGGGGTTAATTGATCCTCTCTGTCCACGTCCCTCATCCTCTATGTTATTAAAAGCACACTGAGCTAACGCTAGCTTGGCAAAGCTAGATGTACAACGAGCTAAATGAAAGCTGTCTGTAGCTGAGATTGCCATGTACCTTCAAACTGCACATGGTTGTGGAGTAGAGTGAAACACGCAGGGACAGAGGGAAGGAGGACAGAAGATAGCTGCCTTAAACTGCGTCTGTGTCGCTCTATCCGCACACAGCGACATGACGCCCAGAGCGCGACAGTGTGGCGGCGCATGTTAGCAAGTTTTATTCTATTCGGCCAAATTCATTCCTCAATGTGCTTCTGATAATGAGATATGCCCGATCGGCCAATACTTAGTGGATCGATATTTATTGTGCATCCCTATCAGATACAGCCTGAAAAGTGGAGCTGGGGTGGCGGTGGGTTATGAGCTTTGCGTAGGAAGCAGTGAGGACAGGGAGGTAGGCTACAGCAGCTTAAATAGGCGCCTTGTCTGGAATTTGCCAATGAATGTTAAGAGAGGAATCAGATGAGCTGTGGGCTGATGTGCTGCTGAAGATGGCTGCTATCACCTGATATGCTGGAATGAGCGGAGGTTGACTTTGTTGCCTGCCTGAACTAACGCTATTCTTGATTTATTTCACAATGGCTTTGGGGCAAGCATTTTGGGATTGCACAACTGACTGGTCCCTCCTGCACATACATCATTACATACAGTGCATCTACGTGAAGTAATTGGAAAGCATAACACATTTTTGAGGGGAACAGTTTCATTGAAACTATGTGACTGGTTTTGGCACAGATTAATAATTACTCATTTAGCTGATGCAGCTGAAGCATTTTATCAAACTGCATCATTCGTTAAACTGGAGATCCAGTGAACTGAGAGCTTAAAGGGCCACTTGGAAGTTGTTTTTACCTGGAAAATGCAAGGGGGATATCTCACTTCATACAGTTTAAGGCACATTGTGTACTTTGAGTCATTGTTTTTTCCTCCTGTCCTGCTGTTGGATTCTATTTTTACTGCGTGCAAGCTTTGAGCAGCTTGCCCACCATTAACCAGTAAAGATATGTAATCTTTGGAAAAAATATTTATATGGAAAATTTAGCGATTCAGTAAAAAAAATCTTGGAAGGCCCACATGTGTTACACGAACCATTATGATGATTAAGACAGCAAAAAAACTGTAATTTGGTTTCAGCCTTTTATTTGACAGAACATCTCCCAATGGGGATTTACATTAATCAATTACAAAGTAGGACCTTGCCAAGTGGCAAGAGAGAACAGCCTTCACAAAGGTTCTGTATACAAACATGCAATCAACATGCATATAGTATAAAACCAAATACATATTAGGGGAAAATACAATATGTAACTCACTACCCATTATAAAACTATCAACTGTGAACTGTCATAGATGATGACAGACTAACCCAAGGTGGAAAATAAAACCTTTCTCCTCAAAAAATGATGAAATGCACAGATGACAATAAACATCCATTATTAAGGCGTTGCCATCCTTCACTATACTGTGGACATTCTACTTGGCTATTACTTTGACTCATCGATATGTGATACGATTTAAACGTGTGAAGGTGAAACTACATTTCATGTTCTGCAAAATCGAAGGTGAATTTATTTTACTTTAAACGTTGCTAGCTTGACACAAAATACACATTTGTGTTTTACTTCTGAAACTCGCAACACATAATGATCAACTCTGATAAAAAAGAAAAAAATAATGTATCTGTGGTATACAAATCAAAATTAAACTGTGTAGTACAAGAGTATAATGCAGGTAAAAATCACAGTCATATAAAAAGATTGATACATTGTGTCCTGCATGTGTCCTTTTTTGAGACAGTTCTGTGCGGTCAGTCTTTGGAAAGTCACATTCTGTGCTTTGGATAGAAGTCAGAATTATAGGTTAAAGGTTTGTATACTTAGACATTACTAGTCCATGAGGTATTTGACCAGTAAGTATACATCCATTTTACGATGGCCAGCAAATAACAGCGCAGTTAAGTTTCCAGTGATATTAAAAGGCAACAGTATGGTAGAGGAAGGCTTTCTGACTTTCTGAATTTGTACTGTTATGAAACTTGAAACTTAAATTTAAATTCTCAGAATCTTAGTTCCAAATATTTTCACCACCTCAGGAAAAAATAACCCACTGTAAACTATGCAGTATATAACAAAAACAAAACATTATAGAACAAAGTTACTGTCAAACTGAAAGCTCTCTCTCTCTCTCTCTCTCTCTCTCTCTCTCTCTCTCTCTCTCTCTCTCTCTCTCTCTCTCTCTCTCTCTCTCTCTCTCTCTCTCTCTCTCTCTCTCTCTCTCTCTCTCTCTCTCTCACACTGATGGACGGAAGAAAAACAAGGCAGAGGAATAGGTGAGTAGGAGGAGTCTGGCGTTCTTTCACTCTGTGCATTTGTAGAAAACGGCTACATTCACGTTATTAATCATTGAGTAAATTGCACTTGAGGGGAATGGGCTCACAATAACTTTGCAGTTTAGACTCCCCCCCGCTTCTATTCACGACAAAACTGGTAATATTAAATAGTCATTAGAACAAAACTACAGAATGTTTAAAAGTTTGTGTCACTTCCGTCCAAGTGTTCTTGGTTGCCATTTGTTAATATTGCTTGAACAACAAAGCCACCAGCATTGCACAGCAACCCAACCCACTTTAGTCATCCATCGCTGGGTGGTCACAGTGTGGTCAACAGAACAAATTAAATTTGCTGGTGTCTATTGAGCAGTATTTGAGAGATGGAGGTAAATGTTGCTCTGTGAAAATTTACATGTAACCATAAACCTTCCCATCTTAAGCTGATACACGAGGCGAATTTATGAGCAATGTTGCTGGTGGTCCAAGTCCAACTATGTTTTTAACGGATACCGGCGGGGTGGGGGTTATTACGGTAGTAATCTTTACTCATTACCATTGACAGCAACATTGCCCAGAACCATTTCTCTGAAGGTTGCTCCGTGTATCATCAGCTTTAGATATGTTCACACAACTCTGGTTGTCCTCTCCTTGCACACAGATTCTTTACAAAAAAAAAAAATCAAAATCAAGAAACATGTGGACTGCTGCAAAACAAAAGAAATATATAATAACACACAGCTTTTGATCACAGTTTTGGGATCAGAAAACAGCACAATCTGTCATTTTAAAACAAAATAACACCGTTGTATAAGCAACAATTCTATATTTAAGTAATATTTTAGAGGTTAAAATTGATTATCGAATATTAATTAGGAAGATAAGAGGAATTACAGTTGCTGAGGCAGCAGATCAACTAGAGAAAGGAATATATCAGATCACACTGAAATAAACAGTTATAAAAAGTGGAACAGTGCAGAGCGTGCACTCATTCTTTGCTGCCAATGTAATTGTCTCATACCACCAGCCTTTGCCATTGTTCCCCATCTGTGAACTCCTGCTCAGCAGACGAACAAACATGTCCGCCTACAGCCAGGGCCCATCTTTCTCCGTCTTCTTGAGCCTCCTCAGCAGCTGGTGGTGTCGAGTAGCTGCTTGTTCGTGGAGGCCTCTTCACTATCAGAGTTGGTCCTCATGTCGTTGTCATCTGCAGCTCTGGCTATCGGTTTCTGCTTGCGTTTGATATTGAACACATCCCACCTCTCAGACACCAGATCCTTGCTGAAAATGATGGACGCCAGCCAGGAGAAGAGCAGAATGGATGCGAGCGAGATGATCATGATGGCAGTGCGGAAGGGGAAGAACTGGGTCAGCTTTCCCTCGTCATCCAGCCGGCAGCCGGGGAACTTGATTACAGGCGGGATGCCAATGAGGGGCTCACCACTCAGGATCCTCAGGATGATTCCCATCATGTAGCCCACGGTGGCTCCGTAGCCATTGGACAACTTGAAGAAGAGGATGCAAACCAGCTGAGGGAACATGATGGTGTAAGACATGTCCACGCCCACAAGCCAGAAGACCAGGACGCTGTTGTCCAGGAAGGTGAGGGCAGTGCCAGCCAGACCCACCACCACCACTGAGATACGGATCACCCACTGCATCTCACGGTCGGACGCCTGAAGGAGTGGAGAGAATGACAACAACAAAGAAGAGAGTACACCTTATTATACAATGTAAGGACCTAAGGATCATCTGGTCTTGAGTCCTCCTTGGCCTTCGGGTGAGAGACACAAACCTCCTCTCCCAAAAATAATCTCATCTAGTGTGAGATCTCTGAGAAACAAGACTGGTGAACTTATAATATCTGTACAAGTATAGAAACAGTTGCATTTAATGTTTTTCTAAGACATGGTTGAACCCCTTTATCGATGGGTCAATCAATGACACTCTTGCATTACCAGGGTTTTAACCAACCATGAGACCAGTTATAGAGGTGATATTAACCACTTGTACAACTGGTGTTCAGATAACTTGTTAATCCTAAACACAAAAGAAATTATCATTGAGTTCAGAAGAAACTCCTCTCAGTCCCCTGTAATAATGAATATAACCACTGAAAGTGTACAGGAGTACTTGGGAACTAATATTGATAGCATACGGACATGGAATGACACCAGTGAGAGGTTTGCAAAGGCTTAAACAACATGTCTACTTTTTAGGGTGCACATGCTGACACTGTTTTATAAGACATTCAGTTGACCTTTTGAATTCAATGTTATGGTGAGTATTGTCAGTAAAAAAAAAAAAAAGAAAAGAATAAACTGGTTGTTAAAGATAACTACAACCAATGTGCAGTATTTCTTACATGACAGACCAATACACCATGAATTGAGCTCACAAGACCATATCATCCACTGCACCATCTATAGCCTGAATATGCACTTCTATCTTAGGAGTATGTCCAGGATGCTAAAAGAGACATCACATCCTTTGTCCCACACAGCATTAAACTGCTCTAGTCTGTATTTGGCACTTTCTTGAACTTCACTTGATTTTTTATCACATTTGCTCCATGGACTGTCACATCCTGACTACCTGGTCTTTACTACTTCATCTGCCTGTGTCAAATTACACAATACCCTGATGAAACCCTCAGGATTTTCTCAGAGCAACAGAAGACAATCTACTACTGTTTTAACTTCAGCTAACAGAGCCCATTTGCTCAAGTTTTGTCTTAACATAAGGGGCCCTATTTTAACGATCGAAGCACACAGCAGGAAGCACATGGTGCAGTTGCGTTTAGGGCAGGTTCAATTCCAATTTTGTTTTGTATTTCAGTGCGCCAGGCGCATGGTTCAAAAGGGTTGTACTTGGTCTGTGAATTAGTCATGGGTGTGTTTTAGGCATAACATGCAATACACCAATCAGATTGTCCCCTCCCATTCTCTTTAAAAGCCAGGTGCGCTTTTACCTTGGCGCATTGCAAGATGGATGAATGGAGCATTATTAAAATTATTGGCAGACTCACAGCAGAGAGGGAGATATGGACAGAAGTGTGGACGTGAAATAAAAACTCTGAACTTGAAGCCTAATGTTACTCTGCAGCTCTGTGGTTTATCAGTGAAGTGTCAGAACTCCACTGCAGACTGGAGTCTGTTCACAGGCAGACGCTGTCTCCTCTATGAAACGTCTGAATCCTCACTGCGCTGCATTATTATCAACTATGATGAACCAGTCGTGGGTCACATTTTTTTCTCTCTTCTGCTGATCGTCGGGCATTTAAGCAGCAAAACAAAAAAAATCGTTAAACAGGACATAACAGAACAGAGGAAATTCAACTTTAACCTTCTGAAATAATCTAGACTCTCCGATAGAGCTCAGGATTGATCAGGAGGGGTGCTTTACTCCAAAAAGTTTCACTGTGTGAACCTGGACTGTGTGTGAGACCTTTTGGATGTGTAGAAGAACACCAAACAGGAAATAACATTAGTTCCTGACGGCGAATTAATCAAAGTATGCTGCTGTGCCTTGTGGACATGTGCACAGTGCCTCTCAGAGTAATGCGCCCCTAAAATAACAAAAAACAGTGAAATACTGCGCTGTTGACTTTAGAGTGTTTTTTTTTTTTTTAGACAATGGCGCAATCACATTCTGTTGCCTCAAGATGGCAATGCGGCAACAATTTGCCTGACCACACCTCATTTTAGGACCAACACTCTCATGGGCGCACAGATGGGTGCAAGTGCATATGCTATTTAAACAACGTGGACACTTGGCGTGAAAATGACAGCTGCATTGTTTGGAAACTAGCAATGATGCTTCCGCTGCACTTGGCGCCGCTTTGCACCGGGTGCAAGATAGGGCCAAAGAAGGATTAAAAGGGGACTATACTGCCCTAAAAAGCCAAAATGCGGTAAGAACATACATGGTCGAAATTAATACCACAATCAGATTTTTAAAATGAAAAAACAGCACATAAAATGAAGGCGGGAACTACAAAACTAGGTAGAAACAAAACATCCGTGACTAGTGGCTGAGGTTAGCTGGTTAGATGGCCTTAGCTAAAAGCTAATTTACCAGTTTTATGCAACCAATTTCCTGTATCTGAAAAATCTATTTTGATTATCCAACATCTTAGTGACGCCCTGTCGCCTCACAACAAGAAGGTCTTGGGTTTGAACCTTGGCCGTTCTGTGTGGAGTTTGCATGTTCTCCCTATGTCTGCATGGATTCTCTCTGGTTGCTCCAGCTTCCTCCCACCATCCAAAGACACGCAGGCAAGGTTAATTGGTTACTCTAAATTGCCCTTAGGTGGGACTGTGAGTGGTTGTTCATTTCTGTGCGCCCTGTGATGAACTGGTGACCGGTTCAGCCTTCCGCCCAATGTCAACTGAGATTGGCTCCAAGTAAACAAAAACACAGTTGATATATTTCCTCTGAAATTCTCACCTGCTTTCTGATGATGTTCTTGTAGATATTTGAGGAAAACAATGAGGCTGAAGAGAGAAGAGCTGAGTCCATGGAGGACATGACAGCAGCAGCTACAGCTCCAATGCCAATGATAGAGATGTAGGGGGGTGTGAGGTACTGCAGGGCGATGGGGAGGATGGAGCCTGCCTCGTCGCGCTCATATGGGCTGGGCAATCCATAGCTGGTTGAGTTCCAGTCTGCAAAAAAGGATGAATGTTTGAAAGACAGAGGGGAGAAATACATTAATGAAGCAAGAAACAGATAAAATCTGATAAACATAGCATATAATTTTCCAGAACTGTAAGTTAAGAATGTGTACCTGTAGATGCAGCCACAGCCCCGACCAGCACGGAGGGGATACCCAGCACCAGACAGAAGGCCGAAGAAGCATAGCATGTCACTTGAGCCTGGGTGTAAGAAGAGGCCGACAGGATTCTTTGGTAGAACGCCTGGTAGGCCAAACCACCCAGAGCCTGGCACAAACACACAGTTCAGACATGATGACAGGAATCAGTTTCTACAACAGGATAGCAAGAAGGAAGGATCCTCTCATGCTATGGTTGCTGTTATGCTTGGCTGTTTGCTCATCTAATGGAATAAGCCCATTTGATTTAACTGCTGAGTTCAATGTAATTTAACTGCTGTGATGGCAGGAGATATGTAAATACTGCATAAGCTGTGTATTAGACCACATTTAGTGCTATCTATGTGCGTCTATATGCTCATGATCTCTCCCACTCCACTCACCAGCAGCATGAAATCATCAAACCACTTGCCAGCCTCATTGAGCTCCACCGTGCCAACCCAGGGAGCCTGGAAGGTCTGGTTATAGGCCGTCAGTGAGATGTCCAGAGAGTGAGGGTTGGTCAACAGGAAAGGAACACACACCCACTGCATACACAAACAGAAGGACACAGCTTGTTACGACTTGGGTTGTATGGCTGCTTGGGATGTGTGCTCTCTCTGTGGTTGTCTCTGTGCAGGGGGCGTGGCAGCTGGCTCAGCACCTGGCTCTCCACCACACCTGCAGCAGATCAACTCATCACCGCTCTGCTCATAAGCCCCAACCTTGTTCTTCTCGAGCCTTCACCCTAAAGTTTGTTCCTAACAGTTTTTGTCTCTTCACTTTGTTTTTAGACCTCTGCTGCCTCGTGCCTCCCCACATCGCCAGCCACATAACCCACTCCTGGATCCACAAGCTCTCTAGCTTCCCAGCCCTTGCCTAGTTATTGTTTTGTTCTTGAGAATAAACCATTTTTCTCCACTCCACCCACCATCCAACCTTAACACAGCTAATCTGATTAGATTGGGTGGTGCGGTGGGGGGAGTAAACAAAACACAGTACAGGGAAAAGAGAAAGAAGACCGACTAGCATGTTCCTGGCTGGCTACTGTGTTTGTTAGTGGTTAGCTCTCTTGCTAGTAGTTCACCAACTAGGTCTGCAAGTAGTTTCTACATGACCAAGTTTCTAGAACCACTTATTTCCAAAGATTCATCATCTTATTTGGATGGATGCAATTTTGAAAAATGAGTGATAGAAACGTCAAATAGACTTCACAGTTGTCAAATTAACTAATGAAATCACAACATTAATTAATTAGCAGGTAATTTAATCTGCTAGCCTAGTTAGTGAGATACCAGGTGCCTCTGCTGGACTCTATATTGAAAATATACTTTCATCCACTTGTTTCTACAGTGTAGTATCGATAAACATCATTCAATAGAAGAATAGAGCTGGAGCTGAACAGGTCAATAGATGTTACGCACCAGACTGACAAAGATCAGGATTAGCTGGATGACATCTGTGTAGGCCACAGAGTAGAGCCCCCCCAGCAGTGTGTAGGTTATGGCCACCACTGAGGAGATGATGATGGAGTAGACGTAGGACAGGTCCAGGATCACACTCATAGTTCCACCTGGAACAACACAGTAGTGCAATGAGAATCGGCGGACTGATATACTGTTAAAAATATACTGAAGTCAGTATTATTTTACAATACGGCACACAAAATTTAGTAGTTTAGTAGTTACTAAAGGACAACAAGTGAGGAACGACCTGAAAAAGAATTCGTTAATAAACAGTTTTGAGTAACTCTGAATGGAGGACTATATAGTAGATAATGATGATTTACAAGAGAACTGACTGGGAGATACTATAAATATGTGCAATATGGCAGGTTTGTGCATGATATGAAATTAAATTAAATAATATTTACACGTGCAGAGACATTTACATTATTTGAATTTGGGGTGTCAGTGGGGGAAGCAGTTTTTGTGGTGAGAAGTTTTGGTCCTGATTGACAGCAGCCTCTTGCCAGAGGGGAAAGTCTGAAACAGTTTGTGTCCAGGGTGGGAGGGGAAGATTGGACATTTGGAGTTATTCACTAACTACTTGTTAACGATTCAATAATTATCAGGTAATTCCTGATTAGTTTCTCAGTCGTTCATAAGTAAATACAATTTTGTGTACTGTATTGTATTACCAGAAAGTATTACTCAAAAGGTCTTAGAGCATGTCATCTAATGTACAGGAGTGGGTTGCTACAGAGACATGCAACAGCTTACTGTGATAGTTTAAGTAAGTGTTTTATTAGTTTCTCAGTCTCTTTTTCTTCTCTCACACAAACACACATATATACATGCATACACTCTTCTGTAGTAATACTAAGGTTACTAATAAAGTTTACTAAGAAGCTACGCTATGACATTGTCTTGTTATACTGTTCATGTCTTATTGCTATAACAAAAAAGAAAACACCCTGGCAAACAAATTACACTTTTACCAGTAAAAAACAAAACACTTCATTTCTAGTCATTTATGTCAAGTATAAAGTTATACATAAGCATGGGTGGTTTTGGTTTAAACCTATAAAAAGGATCCAAGAGCTTAGATTAAGCAAGAAGCCAACATAAAAAGTCATAACTGACACGTAACAGAAGCAGCCTATTGATTGTGACTCGAAAATATTCCTTTTTCACCCTCTTGGGTGAATTATCACCCTTATTGATACTAAGTAAAATAAAGAAGAATGGGAAGTAAGAATGTGAAATAAATATAAATATATAAGTAAATGCAAATAAGTGACATTTGTTTTAAATAATAGACATCTTGTTACTCAAATAAGGCAAGCAAAACGTCACTACCTTCACCGTCTCTTCTGCCACATTGCCAGGGTCCCCCCAGCCGCAGCCTGCAGCCACACCACAACAATGCCCTTAAACAGAGAAGTGTCAGATCGGCACCATCGATCGCCACCCTGACCTCTGACCCTACTGACAATTTCTGTTTGAGCTTTCACGCCATGTGTGTGTTTTAATAGTTAAATCCATTCTGGAACTGAACCACCACGCACACACACACACACACAAACAGTCTCCCAGCAACAGCGCCCACTCTCTGGAGTGTCAAGTGTTTATGTATGTGATGCCAAGCGCACATCGGATATGTATTCATAACTGTCACTGATACAACGTTAGGAGGTTTTACTGAGAAGTGAGGGTTCCCCTAACTCCTCATTAGTTCAATGGGTTTGGACGTTCCTGCTTCCCTACCAGCCCTTTTGTGGGGCGTTACAGTGCAGCCTTGGTGACTCAAACACTGTCAATGGATTTCATGGTTTCCCTTCAAGTTTTTTTACACACGGAAATTAAATTATAATTCAGCTTGGAACTTTTACCCTCTGTCAATCAGGCTGGGCCTTAGCATAAATAATGGAAAAGTCTCTAATGACACAATATGGTTTGAATAACTGATCACCTTTCACAATCAACAGGCTGCTCGATGTTTAACCCCCCTTTTGAAATACTGGAAAAGAAAACAGCGTTAAAAACACACAAGACAACAATATGTACACACAAGTTCCTTCACGCTCATTTATACTGTAGAGCACACACACACTTGCATCCACTCAAAGCGCAGAAACACACACACACACACACACACACACACACACATTATTTGATTATTACTTTAGATTAGAGAAACAACAGTAAAAACCATAGTGACAGTAGCTTCTAAGGAAATCTAAAGCTTGACAGGACAGCTGTTCCCAATTATATTTGCTAGGCAATGAAAAAAGAGGATAGTGAATGGTCAGTTTCCTTTGATCTTTTCACAAATATTGCATTGTGTATATAGTGTATTTTTAAACTTCATATACACTTCATGTGTTTATCTACTGACCCAAAGCAGCCAAATATAGTGTGTGGTTAAAATAACAGAAGCACCTCACAATAAATAATCCAACGTAACGGCTCGTGAAAATGGTTTTGACTGTGTCAGAGGGCATTCATTTAGAAAGCTGTAGTGTTTGTGGTGGTTATTTTATCATGTTGAGGTGTTCACCCAGTTCGTGTTTGTGCACATTGTGTTCCCAGATCTGTGGGTGCCTGCTTCAAGTATATGTTCACACATGTCAGACAGTTTTACAGTGGGATGTAACTTACCCAGACTGACGAGTGTGCGTGCCACCCACAGGACATCGGCCACGAGTGCGGGAAAGATCAGCACACTGCTCAGAACGTTCCCATACTTCTGCTGGAAGGGGTCCATCATTGTCATATACTTGTTCTCTCTCATAGGCTTGGCAAAGAAAAAGCCACCTGGAGCAGGAGCGAAAGAATTAGCATAAAATCACAATCTCACTCTGGAAAAGCTGAAGCCATCAATATTTTTTAAAGAATTGGTTATATATTTCTATCAGGGGAGGAAGAGACCTTGGAGTTTCCAGTTCTCATTACTCTCACACCTTGTGTGTCACATTGTGACCTTGGGGCCTGAGGATTTCACCTGTTGCAAATGGTTACAGATGGTTCACGGAGTGCAGCTTAGAGCTCTTTTGATTGTACTATCTCACACAGCTGATCCTTAGCTAACAGGGCAGAGTAGAATTACAAGGGTTAGAGTCCCTGTTTTCTCCACTGTTAACTTGTTGACAGGGCCCACTGTCAACCGCTTGTTTTTCCGGCAACATGTAGCCTAAAGCTGAATCAGAACTGTTTACCGGCTTCTCGCTGACCCGCTCTTCTCTGCTTCTGATTGGCTAGTAGTCCTTAACTAGGAACTGTGCATGTGCAACTCCCAACAAAGATCATTTAGAGGCAAGATGTATCACTCCGTAGCTAAAACGAAGCCTTCAACACAGGGTGAAAAGAGAAGCTGCAGCAATGTGCAGTATGACAAAAAATGTGGTGTTTTTGAAAATTAAGTAAACCTGTTCTGGTACAACCCCTAAATCGGATTTTGAACCTGAAAATGAGCATAATACCACCTTTTTAAAACTTTTTTATATTCCCCTGTTGCTTTTATGTTTTATGTAAAGCACTTTGAATTGCCTTGTTGTTGAAATGTGCTATACAAATAAACTTGCCTTGCCTTTGTCAGTTTGATGAATTCAGGAGTGGGCAACTACCTCTCTGGGTGAAGTCATCACTTTGCACCTGTTGCCTCAAGTTGCAATCCTTAACTGATTTCTCATGGACCTATTTTTAACGTGAGTGACACTTTTATTGGTGCATAGAGTCAGAATGGGGTCGGAGGTACTGGAGCTACATAACTGGTCAACAGCTCTTCAGCTCGAGTTCATTTTGATACTGTATTTAATAACTGGGTGTAGAAACGTTGGGAAACTAAATGAGTACACAAGCTATACTGAAAATATTCAATTGTGTTGATGCTTGTCCTTGTTGCTGAAATAATAATACAGCAATTTACATTGTTGCTAAGCTAGAACATGATATTGTTATGTTATTTTCCGACATGATTTTCATTAGCTAATGAGAGTAAAACAAGGAATGCTTGAATGTTAAATTTTGACATCGTGACCTCACAAAGACTTTACAGAAAATAGACCAAAGTCTGTATTTTAGTGAGGCTCCAGTGTGTAACCGGCCTGTGTGGCAAGTTCATGCCCACAACTCATTTCAATGGCATTTACTGGTGCTTGCCAGTGTTAATTTCAGACCCTGCATACAAGAACATTGTGCCCTGTGTACAAGAGTAGGCTGCGTGAATTTCATGTATGGTCCAGGATAACATGTAAAACAATTTCATCAGCAAAGTTCTATCCAATTACTTGACCCAAATCAGTTGACATAAAAGAAAGTCTAAAAGAAAGGAAGAGGTTGAATACAGTAGTGGAGGGCCAGGGTTCATGGTTCTGGGTTTAAAACTTGGGAATCAGTGGTGCTACTCACCTAAGAAGAAGGTCAGGACATAAGGAACAGGCATGAGAGCCCACACTGCGCCTAGTGTTGGGTTGTATGTTGCCTCAGCTATACCAAGGATGAAGCCTCCACCTACCCATGTAGCTGCAGAAAGACAAACATACAAACACACGCATTAAAAAGGACAAACATTAGCTTGTGCATTGCTCGGACTTCTTCAGGCATACCAAATAACCACTTTATTTGGACACACCACCACTGGACGATTATCAATTGACCCCTTCTGACTGCTTTACCAGTAAGAGTGAAGATGCCGACTAGCAAGTTAATGTTGCGTCCGGCCAGTAACGTTATCTCCATGCCATCTCCTGGACACTTCTTCTCCGCCGTCTTGGAGCGCATGGCCGCCCAGATCCCTGTGCCCAAGATCAGCAGGTAAAACGCCGCCATCGCCACCAGTCCCGGCACATTAAGAGACATCCTGACCTACTTCTTTGTGTGTGTTTCCTGTTGAAAGACAGAATAAAAGAAATATGAAGGTTTGAATTGCTAACAAATGCTGTTTGTAGTGGGGTTTTTTTTTAAATCACAATAACGTACAGTTCAAAATGCACCAAAAATTAATTACAATCCATATTCTTAATATACTTTATGGCTAAAAAATATTTGTAGGACTGCAGGACAGGGAGTAGCTGTTTAATTTAAGTGTGTGTGGGGGGGCTCTGACAAACAAAAGGTTCATTCATCACGTGCAGAAAGCTATTGAGTGCACATTAAAAACTGAAACAGTAAGCCTAAAACAGTAGTAAGTATGCAAATCAATAAACAGAGGGGGGTGAGTGAGGTGGAAAAGGAACTCTGTATGTCTTCTTGAAGAAAGGAAGTGAACAAAGAAAAAGCTGCAGTGGTAAAAAAGCAGCAGTAACATCTCAAATGACCTGGCTCTGCTTGTTTGGCAGATGGAGTGATGGGGCGAAGAGAAGAGGTGGAGTTGAAGAGGAGGAGGAATAAAGAAGGCAAGGTTGTGTGGACGAAAGGATGAAGAGTCGAAAGGGGTCTCACCATAATACTTGGAAGCACTGACAAAGATGGTGGACAGATGTTGTCCCCCGTCTTCAGTGGATGGACGGCTTGAGTTTCGACCACAAACATCGGGAAGTGAACACAACTCAGAGCCATGTTATTGTGCCTGTGTGTGTACGTGTGCATGTGTGGTCACTGTAACTGTGGAGTGGACAGATGGTTTTCTGAAAAATTAGTATTAGACTGTAAGATGAGAAATGCCTTTGCAGCTATAAAGAAAGCGTTAATCGTTTAACTGCTGGTTTACACCTACTGTCTGCACATTAACATGGCTGCACTGTAGCAACTGTGGTCATAAAGTCCAGGAAAGTGAAAGACTTAAGTACACAGTAAGGCAGATTCTTAGAAAAACATTTTCTTTATTATAGACAGACATTTATAATAAACAAAGCCATCATTGTCATAGTGAAAAACAAGACATGGCTCCTGCCCAACGTATTGAAACACACATTTCATATACAAAAAGCTTTGGCTTGAATCAGGAAAACAATAGTTTGTGACAAATGTATGTATGTGTGTGTTCATGTGGGGGCATGGAATGAATGCGTGAGGCCGGTGGGTTGTGGTGGTGGTGTGGCGCTCTGCGCGAAAGTCAACCAAAGTCACTCTTGTGGTCTTGTGTTCTGTTATGTATGTGTTTGTGCACACTGTTGTTGCCTTTACACACTACACTACTACATCTTCATGTTAGATTATAGCACTGAGAAAACCATATGAGTTAAAAAACAACAACAAAACTTTAAAACATTAGAGCTAATGGTACTGCAGGGTGTGAAGAACATTGTGAAAAAACATAGTAGTGGAAAAACAGTCTTTAGATTGAGAAACTTTACATATCAGAACAACTTAGATAAGAGTTACTCTGCAGGACAAGGCTCTACATGCAATTAACACATTAATTATGCTCCATTATTAGGGTTAAATGAGGCAGACATATACAACAATATTAAAGCTGTATGAAAGTGATTCTCAGTTGGATTGGAAGTACAAGCAAGCATTACCATTACTATGGTGGGCTGCTGGTATTTTTCTGCTTGCTTATGGAGGGAATTGTTGGGTCTCAACCTACTTTATATGAAAAGTGCAATGAGATGAATTGGTGCTTTATATATAAAACTGAATTGTATTACAAATTTCAACCAAACAAAAAATAAGTCTAATACTCCACCAGTGCTTAGTTGACTAATTTCTAATTGACTAAAAGCAATACTCAGAAAGGACACATCACTGTGTAGGGAACCAGACAAGCCACTGCAAAGTCACCAGAGAACAATTGGAATTATTCTAGGGACTTGTAAAATTGGGGCTTTATACAACCACCAGGGTGGCAGAAATCCTGGTGGGCTGCTGGTATTTTTCATGTCCTTGTAAATTGATTTTCACAGTACAGATGTTTTAGTGAGCCCCCTCACCTCTTTGTAACAGTGTGCAAGATATTTCACAGAACGCAAACAGAACTAGAGTCCTACTATAAGTATATGCATGCCTATTGAACAATCAACTTTATTTTCCTTCCATTATCAGATAGCTAATGACATGTTTCTCAGACTTGCACACACACACACACACGTCCAATGTGAATATTTTCTGTATATCAGTGTGTTTTGTACTTTTATATGCCGTAATCAGCTATCTTCAAGCACATGTACACGCAAACCTCCGCAACATCTAACTACAACAAGGACCATAATAGAAATAAGTCCTGTGCCTTCTTTGTGTTATCCTTGGTGCTCTTTTAATTGTGCATGTACATTGGTGTTGCATGTAACTGTCCTTTTAAAACCTTTAATAATTGTCACCTTTGTCAGAAAACTGTAGATTGATTTTTACAATATTAGTTGTAACATATTGAGGCACTAAACTCTGTTTACCATGTTTAGGAGTAGAAGAAAGGTTCCTCTTACATCTGGTTTAAAGGGGCATTATGTAGTTTTCAGCAGCCACTAGAGGTGTGGTTTTAAGATTGCAATCAGGTGCGTGCTCGTCCGCGTGGTAGCTTGAACTCTTGAGCAAGCATAATCCAAAACATGCAGAAACACCGGCATGCCGTCTGTGGCTTTTCTCCAGACATGTTCAGGCTCTGGTACTTTGACTTTCCCGGCTCAGAGGCAGATCAAAACCGGCTCCGGTAACTTTACTCTCTGTTTATCGTTCACCGAAGGCTCAGCACGGCTGAGCACGACTAAATGTATTGGATGATAATGAAACGGTTAGTGAGTGTGTTGGAGTCTGTGTTAGACCACTATTGACCTGCAGACCACTGCAGACCTGTAGACCACTATTGCTAAGATGTAGTTGTTTTATGGTGTTGTTGCTGTAGTCTGAGAGAGGCTCGGGAGTGCGCACAGAGCTACATCCCGACCCGGTGCCCTCACATTTATAGTAAAATGGTGGATGTTCCAAACAACAGAGAAAACGGGCGTGTGCTTCACAATTCTAAGTGGGGCTACAGCCTATTGACGATTCGGCAGTGAAAATTTGCTTTATTAATAAGTGATTTCATTGAAAAACTACATATAGCTCCTTTAAAGATTTGTATTCAGTTATTTCCCTCTTTGTGATTCAAACCAAAAGAAAAAAACAAGAAACAAAAAACATGAAATAAATAAGTATATTAGAACTAATATACTTCTAAACTATACTTCAATACCCTACTGAATTACTTTGATGCCCCTCTCTTTCTTTTGCTTTCTCTCTCTCTTTCTTTCTCTCTGCTTGGGTGCTGTCCAGCTGTAAACTAGGAAATGCAATGAAAATGTATTTAATGCAATTTTTAAAAGGACCATTTACGTGGAGAACAACGCTTGAATAAATATTATGCTGACAGTAGATATAATTCAGGTTTGACTTGGCCTAATGATATTTGGAGGCTTTTTTTCTGCGATGAGAGTATCTTTGGACATGAGTGCTCTCTTTGTCCAAATATTCCAATGTGGTATTCTCTTTCATTCAGGTGCAGAAGTCTGTTTTGACACTGACTAAGGTCTCTTTCTACAAATAACTCCGCCCCCTCCATCTCCACACCTCCTCATCTCCCTGGCTCTCAGTACTTTTCCGTTCAGATAAACTCTTTCTGTGTCTTTGCTTCTTCTCCATACCCGTCCATGTTTACGAACGTTATCATCTGCTATTAGTGGGCAGCACTGAACTGAGTGTAGGTAACTTTCCCCACAAATCTCTTCCTGTCTGTGAACGTTCATAGAAGGCTATAGGACTTTAGGTTGATGTAGAGCACCAGTGAACTGTGACCACACTAGGCTACAGAAACAAGTGTGATGTGTTTCACTGAGAGAGAGAGAGAGAGAGAGAGAGAGAGAGAGAGGAAGAAAGTTGAGATCATTAAAAAACAAAACAACCAGCTGATTTTCTCCTTTGTTAAAACACTTCTCTTTAATCTTAATATGCATGTACATTTAAATCTGACAAAGTGTCACATGTTGCTGGATAAGTTCAGTTGACATTATCATTATGATTTCTGCTTAAGGTCACAATTGGTGGATTGGAGACACAGAAGAGCACCTCGAAACAATGACTCACTCTCTCTGATTCACTCACAGGACATGGAGGCGGGTGCATCAAAGGCTCAAAAAAAGGATCTATCAAAAGAACATGTTAGGGGTAAAGGCAAATGACTTTGAGGGGACAGATTAAAGCTAATCATTATCTAATAGGGAGCAGCTCACTCAAGGCGCTGAGGAGGTGTTAGGGTGAGGCTGCGTGGGTCAGCCCTCAGGGATGATGACTCTGACTGAGATTGACGGGAATGTGAATGATAAAAGGTCTCAGGGGAGAAACTGTAACTGTAAGTGACAGTAACAAAGTCAGAGTTTTTTTCCCTATGAGGTGAACTGCCAGGAAATACTGCCATAAAAATATACCAAACATATTGTTATCACTGAGAACCAGCAAATTACAGAACTTTGCCTCTACAGTACGTACATACAAATCGCTTCTGGGGACAAAAGAAATGAAAGCAACCACTCAATGCATCCTATAAAGACACTGAAATAAATATAAGGTATACAAAAATTTGTGAAGTCTCAATAAAAACATTTTTTTAACAGTATTTAAAACAAGATATAATCATTAAAATGTAATTTAAGATATTTAAGCTATTTTCTTAAGTCTGATTAGTCTGATAGTACTGGAGAGTGCAACACATATACTGCAGTGTGAACATTGTCTCAGCCTCTGCTACTTCTCTACAGTCAGACCAAGTGCAGTGGAAAATTACAGCTTATCAAAACCATTGATAGGGAGAATACAGAAAACAACAAACAAATAGGCAGCTGTAGTCACATAAGCCAAACAAGAGCCATTTTGACACTGCAGCAGTTCCCATCAGGGCTATTTCTAGAACAGGAATGCACTTTGCTTAGCCAGCCCAACTTGACTGAGCTCAAATAGCTTTCCAATAAAAAAATGCACAAAGAATGTACATGCACACCATGGAAACACTTCTGTACTTTTAAACAAAAACATGTAACCTATACAAAGTCAAAAAGAAAAAATGTGCACAGTTAACATAAGGCAGCATATTCAATGATTAAATACATACCAGTACGTGTCAGTTCAGTTCTTGATGATGTGAGGAAGAAATTATTCTCACAGGACAGAGAAAAGGCCAGGTGATAAATTAAGTCCAGCAGGAGAAAGATTCACTCATCCACAGTGTTGGGGAGTGAAAGAGACCGCCAAGAGTTGGAGGGCATCATAAGAAACCACTGGTGGTATTCAATCGCTTACACTTGGGAGAGTTTCAAAAAAAGCCAGGGTCTATTTCAAAACTGTTCTAATAAAAGAGTTTTTAACAAAGTGCTCTACAGTGAAGAGGGGAAGGAGTCTGAGTTAATATTGAAAGCTCATCAAGCAGATTCACTGAGGAAGGATGGAACTCTCTAGAGTCAGCACTCAGCTGTGCCCTGGTTTTAAACCTCACAGAGTGGGAGGTGTCAGACACGATACAAAGGAGAGGAAAGCTGCCACTACTGCCACCTGATTGATGCCTGCCTCTGCAGACCCTGTCTGCAGCCATTTGGCTGTGGTCAGAATATGGCACAGATCCAGTCCCTGTTTAGCTTTGGTCCACATGAGGATGACTTGACTGTAGGGAAGCACTGCACCTTCAGCTACTCATGATCACCTCATTAACAACTCGCCTGAAATACATAGAGGAAGACATTTCCTTATTCAGGCTGCCCCTGTTATTTTCTTCAGTTTGATTAGTGTGTGCGCTCATTGTGTGAGTGTGGGCGCTCAAACAGGCCTTCCTGGCCAGGATTTCCACAAAGCTTCGCTTGTTCTGCCTATATGGTTTAGTGCATCAAGCATTTAGTTGATATTGTGGGAGGAGTCAGGTAGAAAGTATGGAGCAGCAGTGAAGATAGAAAATAGACGTGTTGAAGAAGTGTTGCTCATGTTTGCAGAGGAGCTCCCTTCTCAGTATAAAATGATTTCATTCTGAACATGAACGTTTGCCTTGATATACACAATTATATAACAACATCTTTTTTATGGTCCAGGTGAAGCCAAATGTCAGCTACTTGTCACACAGGGCGCAGCCAAATATTTTCTGACATGCTCACACAGGTCAAAACCATTTCACATTCAACAAACCTGAAGTACGTGAGGGGCAAAATTCTCAGGGCATCTCATCATTCAGCTGCCAGCCTTCAGTTTAAACAAAGATCAAATGTACAAAGCACCACAAATCAATCAATAAATAATTGTTAAAATGACAACTGTGCCAATCAAACTAACAAAACATCTATATAAACCCATTAACATAAAATGGCAAAGATTATGAGATCAAAAACCAACATCCTATTTTTCCCTTTCTCACCAAAACAAAAACTTCTTATTGAATACCACAGGGAATTTCAATTCCCCTCGTCAACCTCATCCTGCCTGGCAACCATTCTCATCTTCCCTCAGTTACAAACAGCTCCATCAAATGTTTTTTTCTTCTCTGCTTTCTTTTTCCCAGCTTGAATCGACGAAGAGTCCATATGTGCAGAGCTGAGGTGATGCTGTCCCTTTAAGAGTCTCCTCCCTGTTCCTAGAAAAGGAACTCTGCTTGCAGAGCGTTAATAGATTAGAGCAGTCACGCATCGCTTTCCTGTGGTCGAAACGACCACACCCCAAGGTGAAAACAAAGGCTTTTAAAATACAAGTGCCAAAATTGATAAAACTAGTGCCACCATGCCTTAAAGCTGCTGCATTGCAGTTTGCACAACAATAAAAAAATTAACCCAGTTTACAATTTTCTTTAAAGAGCAAAGGAGAGATTTGTGGCTTCATGCCATCACAGAGAAGATAGTTATAGGTACCCTGTGCCTGCCATTCAATAGTGTAATTCTGTGGCAAACTCTGGAAATTGCCCAAGTGTTTTCCCCCAGCATGGCTTAGACTGCTTATGGTTTTAGGGTTTTTGTTTGGTTTAGTTAAGGTATTTTTCTCCGGCTGAGTACAACGCCCCACTGCATAGCTGGCTTGGTGGCTTCCCTATCTTTTATTGTTTTTGGCTGGGATCTCCAAAGTCTTTTCATTCCTTTTTGTTTTTAACTTTGAGTAAGGTTATTATTATTTAAGCAAATAGAGCTTGTGGGCTCTCTCCTGTACCTAGTCTTGGCATCCTTTCGTATATTTCAGTCTCCAGCTGAGCTGTTGTGTGTTTAGAGAAATGCACACAGCCTGTATTCAGAAATTGAATTTCAGTTTTGAAACATCATTGGAGTTTCTTACCGGAGAGAAGACAGATAAAAGATTAGAAGTGTTTCACTGCCAAGTTTTATATTTGATTTGTTTATGATTCACCGTCTAGTTGAAAATCTGTAAATTGGTCTGAATTACCACAAACAACTTTCTTCATCGAAAGATTTTTCTTTTCACGATCTGTTATTCCCTCCATTAACTTTTATTATGGATACAATTAAAGTCAGTAAGAGTTGGAGAGTCAGTAAAAAAACACTTTTTACATCATTTATCGTCATTTCTATTCAATCATCTATGAGGCTGATAACTCCGGGTTTGTATGGTATTTGTATTTGTATCGGGTTTGAAGTGAGTTACACCATTTCAATTTAACCTGAAACATTTAAATCATTTCCTATATTCAAAAGACACCATGATCACCGTGATGGGTGGCGATGGCCCATGTACGCCTTTGGTGTGAGAGACCCGGGTTCAATTCCCCACTGTGACCCCTCTGCCTCTACCATTGTGCCCCTGAGCAAGACACTTAACCCCTAGTTGCTCCAGAGGTGTGCGACCTCTGACATAATTGTAAGTCGCTTTGGAGCGTCAGCTAAATGAAGAAATGTAATGATCATATTCTAGGAAGTTGATATGCTTCTCCAGCGCTCCTGTTTTCACTTTCATTGGCACCAAAACACGTGTTGATGACACTGATGCTCCCCCTCTAATCTCGTCCGACTGCTCTCCCTCAACTCTGTGATTTACAGAGTTTTCTGATGCACAGATAGCTTTACTTGTTGCTAAAGTAACAGCTAACTACTGCTGACTGTAGCTGCCATTAGCTGACTCTGCCTGGAGCTCGGGGCACCAGCGCTCCCAGTCGTCCAAAGCTCCTGTACCACAACCCCCCCGGTGCTCCGAGTTCCCAGTCAGCTACTAGAATGGCTTGCTGCACAGCTAACTGGGCTAACTAGCTAATGGCAGCTACAGTTAGCAGCAGTTAGGGGCCAATGTAACCTCTGGCTTGTTTACTTGTTCTATGCTTTGTGTTTCTATAATGCAACCTGGAGGACTGAGTGCTGATCAGTGGTGGAAATTGGGGGGAACCCACTCCCGTTCTGGGAGTAAAAGTCAGGAGGGAACGTTCTTGCTCACATTTTTAAAGGTGGAAATCGCTTATAGCTGTTTTACACTGTTTCTAAAGCGTATTCATGAAACTAATAAAATTTATTGTGACTGGACACACCACAAATCCAGCTACTGTCGATACAGGCAATGACAACGCGTGACATTGCTGCATCCCTGGAACTAGTGGACTATTTGGACCATTGGATCAAGTGACCATTACTATGTCTGACAGGTCTCCATGGAAGCGACTTGTCAAGGTAGCCACTCTCTGAAGCATACTCTATTTTAGGAAATTTGAGAGTGAAAATACGGCATACAAAGAAGAATGGAAAGACAACTATGTATTCATCCAACCTAGTATCGTGAATGCAAACCCAATGTGTCTAATCTGCAATGAAGTTGCCACTGTTTGCAAAGAACATAATATTACAAGTGCATTCTGAAGAGTGTCTTGGGTGCTCGCACGACACAACTGGCCATTCACTGATGCAGAGGTTTTCAAAGAGGTTATAGTGATAGTTTTGTAGGTGGCAACTGACAAGTCAGTGAATGATGTTATGGCCTCAGTGAAACAGCTACCCCTTTCTGCAAGGTCTGCTACCCACCACATAGACATGCTGTTGGATGCTGTGCAGGAAGTTGTGATCAGTGGTCTCAATCAGGCCAATTACTTCTCCCTAGAAACTGATGAGAGCACAGACAACAGGGATTTAGCCTGGATGTGCTTCTATCTTAGATATTTTGATGGAAAAGAGTTCAGGGAAGAACTGCTTTCTCTTATTCCATGAGAAGGACACTCGACTGGGGACATTTTATTTGAGACAGTGGAAGAGCTGTTTAGGCTGCATTCATTGGGTTAACCTAATCGTGACAGACAGGGCTCCTGTAATGGCAGAAAAGCACAGAGGTCTGGTAAGCAGATTGAAGGAGATCACCCCCCCCCCCCCCAAATACATGGACTGCATTGCCTCATCTAACAGAGTGTCCTTTGCACCAAGCTCATCAAGCACCCCACACCTTTTCCGCCAACTTGTGGCTGAGCCATAAGAGGCCTCTCACGATGACCTGCTGCTACAAAATGATTTTGGACCGCTTCTGTGCGCTTCTGGAGTAGGTCAAGGCGTTCCTGAAATTGAGCAAGATTAGGGCAGCAGCTCATCACATGAACTAAACTAGCTTAAGCTGCAGCCACAGGGGAGAGGCAAAACTATAGCGGAATCATTCACGAGGAAGCTGGAGTTGTTGGAGTTTATATCAACTGGCCAGCTGCTACACTAAAAACACAGTCCCTAAGACAAGTGACAGAGCTGATGTTGGACTTCATCAAGCAGCTATGGGCCAACTTGACTTCTTGGTTTGAGGACTACGCTGTCCCAAAGGATGTTATTGCTTTTGTGAGTGACCCTTAAAGTCCAACCAGGAGACTTTAAAATTATCCCCTTGCTGGTTGAGGCTGCATTTGAGATTAATTGAGTTAATTGATTTCCAAACAACTTCCCCGCTTAGTGATGCGCTCAGAAGTGCTTAGTCTGTGAATGCCTCTTGGGTGGCTTGGAGGAGAACAGCACAATCAAAACACTTGCATTTTATGTGCTGACAATGTTCCCTTCCACCTATACATGTGAGTCGACTTTCTCATCAATGCAACGCACAAGACAAATCGACTGATGCATTAAAACCTAGAGAACTGTCTGCGGATTAAAGTGACCATATCACCAAACATCCAAAAAATTGTGACTGATGGGTGATGCCAGTTTTCACATTAAATGAGTAGCCTAATAAACCAAACATTTTAATGCTTTCCTGTTAGCTTTACACATTTCCTGAAGGCAATTTCAGAGGTGTGTCAAGCAAGACACAGACATATTTGAATATCCTTCATAGCTTTTCAAAGTAAAACTTCTCAATTCAACTCAAAATAATCACTAAAGAAGAAGTGATTATGTAAGTACCTGTTGCTGTCGTGACTGAGATCTATTTCAGCACCAGCCGCCATCAAAATAATCTGTTGCCACCTGTTGCCACTCACTGGTTTAGAGTTAAATGAAGTCCACAATGCCTG